GGCGCCACCCTTCCAAGTCATACAAAAGCCAGCTTAAGGTCTTAGAAGTGAAAGTGTATATCACAAAAAGCAAGAATAGTGGAAGAAGAAGATGAGCTTCAACAATTCTCAGGAACCCACGATACCTAGATTCTCATACATCCACTTTTGCTTCTTCTTCTTCTTCTTCTGTTTTTTTTTTTTTTTTGTTGACAGAAACATCAATTTTTGCTTTATGTAGAAAATTTAAACCATGCCTTTTAAAGTGTGGGAGTGTCACTGAAGAGCTTTTGTTTTATTGAAGACATCTAAACAAGGATTTCAAATCAAATATAATTCTTCATAGATTAATTGAGATGCACAGGGAGATGAATTGACTTAAGGATATGCAACAACGTTAAAGGAAAATTCGACTAAGAGAAAACAAATTGATGAGTTTTACGGATGACACATTGCACATTGCACTTGCACATCCATCCATCAAAAAGTCTGTAGTTTATTTCCTTAGTTTTGGAGATAATTGATGTCTTTAAAGGTCTCATCATTTTCATGTTTAATATAATTAAACTACTTGGCCTAGGACAACTATTACTCCAAATCATATCAGTAGTTGTACAATACTCCCACTATTTGTTTTGAAAACTAAATCAATTTCATAAAACTCTTTTATTTGAAATTGGGAATATGCACTACTACTAACAAAAAACCTTGCATTCCTTAAGTTAAGTTCAATAGTTTTCTATAGACTCATGACTTATTATGGACTTGATTTCGATCTAACATCTAGCCAAGATGTCAGATCTTAGGTCTTTGGAAGGTGATTGATTTTGTTACACGTCTTAACAACTTAAACATTCATGGTTGTTGGGCGTTAGACCCATAAATAACCCAAGTTATTGGACTTGATTATTCCTTCTTTTGTCTTCTTCAACGGGCTTCCACCTTCCTATTTACAAAACTATTTGAGAATAGAAGTCTTAAAGCCCAATGGACTTTAAGGGAGTTACATTCTTAGAGAGGTAGAATTTACAATTGAAATTGAGATAGGAGAGGCATGTAAGCCTCTATTTTATTTACAAACAAAGTTTGAATAAATAAATTTACAACCATTAAATCAATTCTATTCCATTCATCTCATGAATAACGCCCAATCTCATAGTGTATTTGTATTCAGGGTCATAAGTCCATAATCATCCCTTCATCATTTAATCTAATTAGATAATTAATTTGGAATGCAATTCTAAAAACTTTTTATTGGATAATGTGGGCTTAATTTTGATGGAACATTTAAGTATGTTAATATGAATTATTCCTTTGATATGATTGTCTCGGTAAGATTTGAAGACTTCTTCTTTTAAATATTATCCACTACTCTACACAGAGATTTGATCAATCATATCCTAGAAGTATTCTCTTTCCTTACTGAGTGTTCACCCGTTTTATGTGTGTTCCTGTGATGGTAGGGTAAAGTTTCTCATTGCCTTGAAAACCATTGATTGGTCAACAAATCAACTTTCTTTAGTGTGCGAGTGTGCCACTGCTAGCAATGAAAAATCCTAACAGACTTCTTAAAAATAGATAACTTGGCCCCTAAGTTACTGGTTTCTAAACAAGCGACTGTGAATTTGGGTGAGGAATATCTCCCAAGTAAGTTCTTTTCTTGCCTCAGACTTGTGAGGACTTCACAATTTTTCACAATATAAGATTGATAGTTCTAGCTAGAATAAATGATAAGAAAGTGAACTGTTTTTAGACGGAATTGTCTTTTACAAAACTTAAAAGGGAAAAACCAACTCCAAAAAAGACAAAAGGAGGGATGGACTTCCATTTCTGCTTGGATAAATGCTTCTGATTCGGGCTGGACTGAATATGCCTGTGTTGGACTAGACTATCAACAACTTCAACTGTTAAGTTTCAGCTGTAAATCGATACCAACATTCGAGTTTGGCAGAACTTTAATCTATTTTAAGCCCTGGAAGGCTTTTTAAACGTGCAGAATTGAGGCCTCTTTAGTCTAGAAGGGGCAGAAGTGGCTGGATTTGATAATTACTGAGCTAGAACTGCACTGCAGTACTTGTTCTGTTTGATCAAGGCTTTCCATAAATTTATTGAGGTTTTCATATTTGTAAAACCCGAACTCTGCTTAATTTGACTTATGCTGAACCAAATTTGTAATGAGAGAAATCTTGTTTTGAATGACTTATTTCTCTAAGTCTGAACTGGAGTTGGAAATTTTGATTTGTAGTTGGCTTCTTTCTTGTGGCTCAATGAGCTTTTGGAGAATTTTATTACTTATTCAGGATATCCACTTAAGTTCCTGTTGTGAAGCTGTTCAATTTCAACATGTTTACTCAAAAGCAAATTTCGCAACTCATGCTCTTGCCATGGGCTTAACTTCTCCTTCCTAAAGGAGCATGGACTTCCTCTTTCTAGTGTAAATGTTTTCTACTTCGACCTCTTTGAGCGCCCTTGGCCAACTAGTTCAACCTTTTCGGCCCTGATTGCCCAAAAAGGCTTTGGGCTGTAACTTTTCTTTTTCGTATTTAGAAAAAAAAAAACTCATGTACTAATGTGCCAACATTTGTTTCTTTTATATTTGGCCTCACATTAAATCTCACTTATTTAAAATCAACACACAGCCAAACGAGGTTTACCGTAGTAGAAGAAGGGTGTTGACATATAGACTAGTATATGTGTGAAAAATTCCCACCCCCCCTCCCCTTTTTTCCCCCTTTCTTGTAATTTAGAATAAAAACCAAAAAACACACAAGTTTCGTGTATCATGCCAAATGAGTTGGTTGATGTAGTATTACTAATTACCTTATTGAGATATTTAGTCATATACTCATTCTTAGCATTAAAACTATAAATAAACTCTACACCATTTAATTTCTATAAACAAACTATAAAAAAACCCGAAAAATGATAGCTGGCCCTATTAAATTGAATTTTGATTATTAAATTACTTTGATGTCCTATTGAGTGTTTTGAGCTTTTTTTTAATGAAATTTTAAAGTTAGGTTTGTTTTAAGAAATCAATGACAATTTTGTAATTTAAAAGAAGTTAAAAGCTTTTTTGTTATGTTGTAAATAGGTTTTGGGTGTGTTTCTAAAGTCCATTTCATATAGGGTTTTTTTTTTTTAATAATTTGGGTTCCTATATTGGGTATAATAATGAATCTCCCTACTTTATTTTGTATCCAAGCTAAATGGAAGAAGTGATTAATCAAATGTAAGACCTTGGATGAAAAATAAATATTTTTAATTATGCAATAACTGAAAGTTCAATTTTTCTTTCTTCATTCCCCTTTTTCTTTCTTTTGATTAGACCCGTTCCTAAACCCTATTGCAATCAGTTGATCAAAATTCTGGATGTTCCTTTTCCCCTTTTTTCCTTTGACAAAATGCAAATCCCACTAGAGTGTTCGACAGCGGGGGTTTACCTCTAAACCTCCATGAGCTGAAAGAGCCAACCTAATTACTAGCGTTGACTCCTTCCCAATAATAATTTGTAAAAGCAGACAGACAAAAAAAATAAAATTGTGCATATATTTCATAACAAGGCTCAGCAGCAACAATATCATAATCAGTGAAAAACAATTATGGTCAAGAAGTTTAGAAAAAGAAAAAAAAAAAGGGATGTTAATGAAATCATCTTGAGAAGGGGGCACTATAATGACTAGAGCTGGACCATTGCTTCGATTGAAAATCAGCAGCTGTACTATTCTGATCACTTGTGGCCGGTCTTAGGGGAAGCGAAGACTGAGTCCAAAAAAGTGAAGAGAAAGCAGGTGGTGGTGGCGAAGAAGAAGATGAAGAAACAGAGGAGGCAAGTGGAGAAGAAGAAGATGAAGAAACAGATGGAGTTGCAGGGGATGACAGAAGCATCTGATCATAAAGGCTCATAGGTTGCTGCCTCTGCACATCAACCGGCTTACAGTAGCTTAGAAGGTTTCTTGAAGCCTCATGAGAAGAATGCTGCATGGATTGGAATGCTTGAGAGTGGACAATAGGCTCGGTGGATGTAGCAACGGACAAAAGGGTATTGGAAGGAGCAGAAATTGTCAGTTGGGTGGCCGGAGAATCGGCAATCGGTGTTCGGAGCCGGACGTTTTCAGGGAAGTTGAGCTTGGCCTTGTTGCCCCTGAACCGGAGGGCGGCTTCGTCGTAGGCTTGGGCAGCGGCCTCTGCTGTTTCAAATGTGCCTAGCCACACTCTTGCAGCCTTGAAGGGGTCTCTGATTTCAGCTGCCCATTTGCCCCATGGCCTCTGCCTTACTCCTCTGTATCTTCTTCTTATTGGTTCTGCTATTTGGGTAGCGCTGTATACAAATGTGCTTGGAGGGAATGCTGTTTGTGTTGGTGGTGTTGTGCTTGAGCCTTCTGCAGATATTGGCAACAAATATGAAAAACGTTAAACAAAAAAAAGAAAACAAACGAACAGATAAAAACAAAACACAGAGGCCAAGAGAGATAATTCATCACTCTATTATTATTTTTCTTATGGTCTGGATTGTTCAAGTAACTTCATGTGAAAGGAATTGAACGCGTGCACGATTTTATTTCAATCAGTCAACTCTTGTGAAATCCAAAAGAATTAAGTGAAAAATGAAATTACCTCCTAAAACAGGGGAAGAGCTCTGCCGTGGAAATTCACCAAAAGCTCTACAAAGCCTGGTAACCGACTGGCTACCACAACCTTCCTCTTCTTCTCGTCCTCTCTTCGTCCCAGAATCCGAACCACCTACGCTTGATGAAATCAAACCACCACCAACATCTTCACTCTGTCTATTAATTACCAAACTACTCTCTGCAGCTGCCAGCTCCTCATCCCCAGCCACCACATGCGCCAAAGCCGATACCATGGCAGACATCTCTCTCTCCCTATCCAACCGCAGCAGCATTGACGACCCGGCGGAAGCTAATATTTCACTCCCTCCTCCTCCACCACCGCTGCCGCCCCCGCGTTGTCGTTGTTGCTGCTGCAGCTGTTGTGAAAAAACAAGGGGCTCGTAGAGCCATTCTTCAATGCTATGCTCTGTCCCAGTATTGCTATGCCTTGCGGCACGTTGGTCTTTTTCCGCCACTTTTAGCACACACATATATATTATATATCCACCCAAAGAACTTAAAACACACCAAATATTGTAGAGCTGAGCTTAGGCAACGTCAAGAAATTAACAAACACAAACGCCCACCACACCAAGCTTAGCTTTGAACCGGCATCTAAATATATGCAATATTGCTGGACGCTCTACACACACGCATATATATATATATATTATTAATTAAACGCCGCCAAGAATATATATATGTCGGTTAAATGGTCTTTGCCGGAACCATCTTCATGTTGAAGAAATCCCATATAATATTAAATATTAAAATTGAATAGTATAAACCGTCTGAGAGAATTCGGTGCTTGCCTTGGCAACCGGCTTGATTTTAGAATGGATAGATATAGGAAGGAATTTTTATTGGGTCAAAAGCAAAGGGTGTGAACTGAAAAATTAGGAGGAGTTTGTCGTGTGAACCGAAAATATGTGACAGGCATTTGAGCTTAGGGGGAACCCAAGCCAATCAATCAAAATGACGGTTTCGAAATTAGTCGGTATTGGGTTACAAAAAGAGAAGCTACAGCCGACATAAATTCAGACAACCTTTTTCGCCTGCTGTTTTCGGTTTGGTTACAACTTGGATTAACTAGTTTTTAAGGAACTATAGTAAAGTGAAAAGCCGTTTTATTTTTTAATAAAAAGAAAGGAAAAAGTCAATGGGGGTGGGGGAGAGGTTTGACCCCTTGGGAAGTTTGAAAGTCTAGCAAACTTTGTCTCAGCTCATATGACATCAGCCCCAGCTCTGAGATTTTTAGGCCCACAAGATGTCACAAAACAAACCCATTGCACCTTGTTACTAAAAATAAATGCTATTTGGACAGGGTGGTATAACTCAGTTAATTGAACTTTTTCACTTTTATTTATGTGGGTAGATGTTTAAAACTCCTAAGCACCTAATGAATATTTGTGTAAACCTTCTCCTCCAATATCTTGTACAAAAATAAAAAATATTATTTGTACCACATTTACTGACCATCTCTCTAATATAGGTGAATTCTACGCTAACCACCTCTCTAACAGATGTGCGCTCCACAAATATAGATGGCCCCACATGCATTTGTGGGACACAGCTCGATTAGAGAGGTGGTCAACTATGCGATCTATAAATGTGATACAATTAGTATTATTGGAAAAGAATAGACTAAAATGTAGCAAGGTCCCTAAACTAAGAATCGATTTTACTTTTCGTCCTCAACTCCAAAAATTGTTATAGTTGTCCTCCAATTAGATCTCATGTTGCATCATTGGTCTTTCCGTCAATTCTGTTAAGTTTTCTGTTAAATTAAGGGAAAATTGGGAAATTCATAACAAATATTTATGAGATAAATAAATGCATTAAAAAAAAAAGTAACTGATAAACTTTGAGATATAGGTTTCAGAGAGTCCATGGTTGCTCAAAAGGGCTGAAACAGAGTCTGCTCCTTGTGAGGATTGCAACTCTACCCTTTTGGATGATGAAATTGCGTCTTTTGGCGAGATAACTGACAGGACTTGACCCAAATTTCACTTTGAAATATGTGTCGAACTCTATGCGTGTCCAACACCTGGCAGGTGCCAGGCACACTTGACCAAATTGCCCTTTTAACTAAAGCTAAAAAATTATTTTAAGGTTTGATTTCTACAGAAAAATCGGCAGAGTCTCCCTTGTAAATTGCTCGTTTCCCAATAATTTACACTTGTACAAAATGCAATTCTTATATCCACAAGCGTTCAACATGCACAATATTAGAGCACACACAATCTAACGGTAAATCTGTGTGGCCTTAGGCCTTACAGAAATCCTAGGGTAATATCAAAGCCTACTAATTAATTTAATTTACAAAAAGAGTACGGTTATAGTAGAATATCCTACATAAAGGAAGTGGATGAGTGGAGGGTGATAAATGCCTAGCGGTGGTGCTCCGGTACTCGATTACTACCTGAGGGTGCAAAACATTAAAAGCGTGAGTAGACAAAAGAAAGTTTTGCAAAATATAATATCAACATACTAACCCCATTGTTAAAACCATTTGAAAATTCATTTAATCCATGTTCTATATTTGTACAAAAATCAAGCATGCATATTTATATTCATATAATTGTTCATACATCCAATCAATTCATCAAAACCATTTGAAAGCATTGGAAAATAATAATTCCTTTCCACCTAGGTGTAGCCTTCATAAATCTGTCAATTCCATGATTTTTCTATTTACTTCCCACATTATACCGTCAATTCCAAGTGTCATATAAGCGATACCTCCTCGCAAAACTCGGAAACACAAAGTTAATCCGAGCTGCATTCCTCGCAGAACTCAGGAGACACTTGGTCAACCAAAGGCAACAAGGATGGCCTTGGACATCATTATATCCGAAGGCAACAGTTTATTCAAAGGCAACATTTTGGGTACCTATGGTGGTTTAAAATTCCTTCCTGAAAAATTATAATACTGTTTCTCACTCAATCTTTAAATCATGTTACCATTTCCTTTTCTACTTTCCAAGCCATTCACATTTAATCATAAACAAAATTTTATAAACGCATTTGAATTCAAATTGTATGCTTGGAAAGAAAAAAACCATAAATAATTCATTCAAGATCAATTAATAAAACTTTTACTACATAAAATTCATTTATATAAAAAAAAAAAAAACGTCCACTCACAGTGCGTCCGAGCTCGCCTTACCCTTCAAGGGTCTTTCCTGCAGGCTAGGTGGAGCCTAAGTACCTATTTAAGCAATTAAAATATTTAATTAATAAAATAGCTCAACCACAAATATTTAATCAAAACCCTGACCCCCGACCTTAAAGTGCGTGTGCGTAACTTAAGAAAGTTCCTAGGCCTTCAATAGTTGTGACAATTGGAATGGTCTGAAAAGACCTGAGATTAAATATACGATTAAATTCTTATATTAGTCAACCCGGTCCCCCACCCCCTCCCCCCCGGCCTCCGATTAATAATCCGAAAGTCCAACGAGTCCAACAAAATTTACTAAACACGTCCTGCAAGTTTGGTCTAGATCGAGCGGTTAGATCAATCACGATCGCACGATCGGACAGTCTGGGACTTTGATTCGGAGTATCCGGGACTTTGATTCTCGATCTGTGAGTTCCTACATGATCCTAAAGGTTCCTAGATCAACATATTTGGAAATGGAGTCTATCCAACAGTCCGAACATATCGAACCTGGATATCGCATAATATGTAAAACTTCGTACGACCGTCAAACGATAACCAAATTCGAATATGAGCATACTGTCGTGCTCGAGACAACATGGAGATCATTTTAGGACCAATTGGGCCACCCAGACTCAGCTCACGCTCCCCCGCCAAACGCGTCAGCAGAGTGTGGGTGGTTTGAGAAAATCCCGGCAACTGAAAAATTCTCAAAACACACAACAACACTTATACCTACATGATCCGGACAACTAGTGGAACAACTTTTGTTCTTCGCCATGGCCAAAAAGTGGTCGAAGCTTGCCGAAAATTTGAGCCGAAAATCGGTCAAAACTTAGATCGTAAATCGAACTTCAAAACTTCAAAATCAATCCTAGCCAACCCAACCATCAACTAAGTCACGTTGAAAGGATGAGAAAACATACCTGGTGTAGGGGTCTTTTTGTTCCAGCAGCCTGATGAATGGGCTTGGGCTGCCGTAAGAGAAAAACGAACCAAGATTCCCCAAGTGTTTGAGTTCAGAAACCAGGCTCCCAAAAGAGTTTTTGAAGAGCTTGATGCAACTCTAGAAAAAACACTCTTAGGTTCTTTTCACCAATAGCCAAGTGGACATAATAAGTTGTTGAGTGGCTTAGCTTGAGTAGCTTGTAGCATGGGAGCTAAGCTTTCATAAGTTTAGCAATTAGAGAGAGAGAGAGAGAGAGAATCGTGAGTTTCTTACAGAGAACAAAGGGTTAGAATAGAACAGAGGAAGATTAGGGAGATTTCTTTCTTAGAGAAAGGAGAAAACAAACAAGGAAGAAGATTGGGTGGCTTGAGTAAATTCTCAGTTGCTTGACAAAGCTTGGTCAGGCCTTTGATGTTGATTTTGTTGGGTAGATGAAGGTGCCTTTTATAGGCACAAAGAATCCCTAATTTTGTCTAACCTCCTTCTTCCTTTTTCTTTGCTTCTTTCCATTCAATCCTATTTGGTGAAATTTTCCTATCTAAGGCGCCTAGGTAAGGAGCCCTTTGTGGTTCCAAGGTTTTGGCACAGCTGGTCTTCTCCATAGGGGTGAAACGTCTCCCACTTTCTTCTTGGTTTTCCTACGGGAGCTAACAGAGGAAAGAAAAATGGGTAGAGTCTTTTGTCCAATGGGTATTCATCATTCCTTCATGGATTTCCTTTGGTCCCTGCCATGGCTCTTTGTTGACCATCTTGGGATTATGACGAGGGTGAACCACGATGGCAGATTTTCCTACAAGTTGCTGGGCTGGGCTTGTGCGTACAATATTGGTTTATTAACATATTATTTCCAGTGCCTAATGGGTTTTCGTCAAGTTGCTGGAAACAGCCTTTTAATTTTGGGCATTTTATTGATGCTGGCTTTGTCTAAGTGCTATGGCAGACTATTAGATATCCTCCTAAGGCATTGGATCATTTTCTCCCTTCTCTCATCCTAACCCATGTGTTTGGGCTCAAGAAATGGGCTTGAGTTTTGGGGCTCCCAAGCAGCCCAAAACTTCCATTTCTTGGCTCATCAATAGGCCTCATGAAAGTTTGTTACCATCCATACCACAACCCACTCAAGCAAGCCCCGAGTATTTTGCTTGGCTTGAGCCCACTTAAGCTTGTAGCGTGGCTAGGTGTAATAATAATGATTTTTCCCTTGGCATTGCATGTCGCTTGGCGTGCTTGAATTTTGTCGCTTTGAAGATGGATATGACGCTTGACGGGATAATTAGCTGGGGCTCATAAAGCCAGTGCTTATTTCAACTCTTAGCATGAGAGATTGCATATTTATTTGGCATGGCACGTGGTCGTTGCTCGTGCAAGCGTGAATGACGAATTTTGCATGCTCCAAACAGGGTCTTTTTTTAATAAGGTGTCGCATTGGGCCAGGAATTTATTTGGGCCCAACCCTGAATTTTTGGGCCTCAACACCTGGATAGATAAATGTGGTGGTCGGAATCGTCGGAAATGATGACGAAAAATTCG